ACCCGAAACCCGAAACCATAAACCCTAAACCCTAAAACCTAAATCCTAAACCCTAAACCCTGCCCAGTAAACCCCAAAGTCCCTCCCTTTGACTACGCCTTTCGGTACTTGGCAATCTTCTCCTCCGAATCTTCCTGGGAAGGGACACGCTTGGCTTGGAGCCAAAGGGTTTGGGGTTTGGGGTAATATCATCTGGGTTGCTGTTAAGAACCTTCAAGTAAGTTATCATATTATGGGTATATAGTAAACAATAGGGTTTCCATATTATAGCTACTTAATTCTAAGTTCCTTACCAGCAACTCAGTAATTGTGGTACAGTTACCATAGCGGGCAACTGCTATGGAGTGCTTTTGAGAAAATAGAATTTTCTTTACGTTCGCTAGGCAAGCATAAGGGAATGTGGGTTGTATGGACCCGCCTGCAGGCTTATCAGGAGACTGTTTTAGTTCCCGATTGACCACCACGAAGGGCTAGGAGTGTTTCGCTGCTCGTCCTTGTAGACAATCCACAGTGCCGCCCCACAGCTTGTGATCACCTACACTTCCCGGCGGGCGGCTGTCGGGCGGATACCCTGAGAAGAGGCCCATGTAGATCTCATCAAAACCCAGTACCCTTTTCGGTCATATGTTGGGTACTCGTCTGGCAACGACATACCTGATTTTTTGTCAACATCGCGGGCAGGGCTGGAAACGGTGGCTTAGCCACTGCTACTTCTAGTAGACGCATCCTCACGACAAGGACCTAGGTCTTATGCAAGTACCTGCAATGGGCGAAACTCTCAACTTTGAACCCTGAAGTCACTTTGCAATCCCCTGAACCCTCCAGTTCCTTGAAGGTCTTGAGGTACTCGACGCACTTCGCGTCATTGGCAAATCTGCGCATCGAGTCAACGATGGCATCTTCGCCCTCCATGACCTCCAGTGAGAGCTTCAGGCGTTGTGGTTGGAGTTTGTGTGCAACTTGTTGGACATTAGGCCTTAAGACCTAAGTTGTGATTGGAGTTCGGGACACGAGTTTAAGGTTCATAGCTTCAGCTGTGGGATGAAAATTGTTGAAGGAAGATTGAAATTCGTGCGAAGGCAGTGAAATCATCTCCCTGCTTGCGATACATCCCCCATCCTTCTAAACCCTCAATGTCCAAGTGCGGCCCTTGTTTTTGAAGTGGTTGGTCCTGCTTGCGGCGCAGAACAAACGCCTCCACTAACAGGGAACCTCCTTTGTAGTGGCTTTATAGGAACCGAGTTGTTCGTAGAGATGGAAGGGGATGTTTACGCGATCGCGTAAGAGGTCCTGTTGAAAAGCACCTTTGGGAATACACTATTCTAAAGGGAGACCCTAACCAAAAAAGGGAATCTGCTCTATGGTCATTTTTGCGGACAGGCATTTTGAACGAATACCAACAACTATCATATGAACTGTAATCTCAACTCCTAGTATCCCCCATAGTAGGCCCTATAACAGTAACCTATATAATCCCCCTTGAGGAGTTCAGACCCTAAACCCTAAATCCTGAATCCTAAACCCTAAACCTAAACCCCAATAGTTCATGTGGGTTTCCATACGAACTCTTGGAGGGTAGAGCATTTTGTGGACAAGGCCCAGGCTGCCAAGCAGCTGACAGCTGCCGCACAAACCACCCCAATGCGGGGTCTCGGGAATTCAGGCGCGTGAACTAGTACTAGTAGAAGTAGTAGTAGTAGTAGTAGTAGTCGTCGTAGTGGTGTTGTAATAGTAATAGTAGTATAATAGTAATAGTAGTAATAATAGTAATAATAGTAGTATTATTATTATTATTAGTAGTAGTAGGAGTAATAGTAATAGTAATAATAATAGTAATAGTAGTAGTAGTAGTAGTAGTAGTAGTGGTGGTAGTAGTAGTAGTAGTAGCAGCAGCAGCAGTAATAGTAGTAGTTGTTGTAATAGTAGCAGTAGGAGGGCTGTCCACTTTTTTGTGGACCTTGCCTTGTTGGTCTTGTTCAGACCTCGAACCTCTACTTCGGCGCGATTTTGGTTGCGCTTCATCTTCTCCCAATGTGAAACCCAACTACACCGTATAGCAAGCTGATAGCAACCCATCATACGGCAAGCCCTCTACACTCAAGGCAGTCTGCAGGTTCCTAAAGTTAAGATTTCCCTGTCTATCCCAGAATACTAGCACCGTTGAATACCTACATATATATATATATAAATCACAAGCACCCCACACCTTGCGAAGAGCGGGAGTTAAGTATCATAAGGTCACGCAGGATCATTAGTCTTGACTAAAGGACCCCAAGAGGAAGAACCCCCCTATCCCTAAACCCTAAACTCTACCCTAAACCCTAAACCCTAAACCCTAAATCCCTAACCCTAAACCCTAAACCCCTAAACAGACGGTCAGAATCCTGGAGCCCCGCCTCCTGGGCAGTCTTCTGCGAGGCCATGTACTCGTTTCGCCGGCATGTCCTGAGCTGCTCTAGCTAGTTTAGGGTTTAGGGTTTAAGGTTTAGGGTTTAGGGTTTAGGTTTAAGGTTTAGGATTTAGGGTTTAGGGTTTAGGGTTTATTGCGGCTTGTTGGGCTTACAGATTTGGTAGTTTCCCAGAATAGGGGACCCCAATATAGACCATCAAATACTATAACACTTATGATAGGGACACCCAAAATGGTACCCCTAATGTTGGGATACTCCCATTCGTAGCAGGTTTATACCCTTCATACAAAGTTTCTAATGGTCTGTCGCGCACGTT